GGGGGGGGGGGGGGGGGGGGGGGGGGGGTCGGAGCGCTGCTTTGTTGCTGATTTTGTGTGGTTTAAAGAAACGCTGACAAATCCTTCAGAACAGAACCCAAAGCATTCGGGGACGCTGAGCATCAGAACCCCCCCTTCCCCCCCCCCCAGTGAAGCAGCAGAGCTACAATTCAGTTCTGTACGATTACAAAAAAAAATGGGAAGGAGGGAAGAAGAAAAAAAAAAAAAAAAAAAAAAAAAAGCATCTGTATTTTTTTTTTTTTTCTTTTTTTTTGGGTTTTTGTGGGTTTTTTTGTGGGTTTTTTTTTTTCCCTTTTTTTTTTTTTTTTTTTTTTTTTTTTTTTTTTTTTTTTTTTTGGTGCTGTGATTCTACAGGAGGAGTCGGGCACGGCGTCAGCGGCACGATGGGCACAGAGAAGCCTATGGGGGGGGTTGGGGGTGGATCGGAGGAACCGCAGCAACGCTGCATCCCAAACCCCACACCTGGACGAGGGCTCAGCGCTGCCCCTCCCTGCACTCTGCTCTCATATCCCCATCCCTCCCAGCGTGGGCTGCTCTCCTTTTTCCCCTTTTCTAACACCGAAACCCCAAAGGAACCGCTGCCATCCTGAGCCCCCCCACCCCTCCCTCAATGCTGCCCCACCTGAATGCCACAGCCCCTCTCCATCCCCATGGGGAGCTGCAGCTCCCAGCACAGTGGGAGATGCGCATCCCAAACCCAAGCCCTGCTCCAGCCCCACACACAGCACCTTCCTTCCTTCTCCCCCACCCAGCGCTGCTCTACCGCCCCAAGAAGGGAGGAGGAGGTGGGGGCACAGGGGTCCCCCAGGAGCTGCACCCTGCAGGGGGGGGGGGCAGCAGCACAGCCCCACAAATGGGGACAGACGTCACTTCTCACCCCTACCTTCACTGCATCAGCTCAGGAGGGGCTGCAGGGTAAGGGGAAGAGACCCTTCTGCATCAGAAACACCATCCCCAACGTCTGCTATGTCAGCTACAGCCTGCGCTCTATGCTTACACACCTACGGGGGGAGGGGGGGCTGCTTTCACTCCGCTGGGAGGAAGGCAGGGGGGCTCCTTTGTGTGACAAGGAAACATGGAAAAAAAAGAAAAAGAAAAAAACCAACGAAAAAACAGAACGAAACAAACGAACGAAACAAAAAGAAAAAAAAAAAAAAAAAAAAAAACCAGTTTCTAAACTCCTTAAATTCACTAAAAACTGTGAAAATTCCCGGCAGGATGTTTGAATATCAAACGCAGATTTTGGAAGCTTTAATGCCAAGAGTTAGTTCTGTGTGTTGGTTTTGCTCGTGTCTCCCCGTGTCTCTATCTGTGCGCCGGCCGCTGAACCGCTGCTGCTGCAGAGGAGGAGGAGGAGGAGGAGGAAGGAGGGGGGGCTGCCGGGGGGGGGCGGCTCTTGATGCCCGTCAGGGTGGGTGAAGCTGAAGTGCCATCGGCGTCCCGGGACGATTTGCTGCCCGACGTGCGCCGGGTGCAGCGTGACGACCGGTCCTGGGGGTCGCATTGGTCCTCACACTCCGTCCTGGGGTCGTACGACAGGGGGAAGCAGCGCCGCTCCCAGGGCAGCACGGCCTGAAGGGAGAAGACAGCGGGGCTGCGGGGGCCGTCGGGATCCCCGGGGATCCTCAGGGCGCCTCTTGGTGCTGGGTTTGGCTGCCGGCGTCACCCGCGGCCGTGTGACCCCCCCTGGGGCCGCCCTGCCCGCACCCACCTGCTCGTCCAGAGCCTCGGGAGTGGAGCAGCGCGTGTCCTCGCTGGGCAGGAGCCGCAGGGAATCGCGGGACAGGGGGGTGAGGGGAGCCGAGAGCAGTTCAGGGCTGATGGGGCTGCGCGGGGAGTGGCTGTGGGACGGCTCCGAGTGGGAATGGAAGCTGCCCACGTCCGGGGATGCTGGCTGGGGGGTGGAGGGGGTCCCCAGCTGAGGGGTTGTCCGTCCGTCCGTCGATCTGTAGGACCTGAGGGAGGAACGGACACGAGGTTTGGCTCGGCTCCGCTACCCCGGATCACTTTGTGTGCCCCCATCACCCCTCCCAGGTGTGCCTGCAGGTCTGGCAGGGCGCAGGGGTTGGAGCACGGCTCACACTGAACCCCCCCTTGAGCCTACATCCATCCTGCAGCTCCCCAGAGGAAACGCATCCCATACATCCACACCGCCAGCACTGCCGGGAGCAGCCTGTGACATCAGTGTGAAATCAGCCCCTCCGTGCGACACTGAGAGCCAATGGAGGGAACCCGTGACACAGAAGCACCAACAGCTGTGGGGGGGAGGAGCTGCAAGGCGCCAGGCTTCAGATGTAAGCCATGAGAAGAGACCCATAAAGAAGCACTGAAGTCACACCCGTGTCTGCACGCATCTTTTCAAGGCGAACTCCAGCTGCAAGCAGCAATCGAGGGCTGCTAAGGATTGCATTCCAGAATCCACCTGGGCTAAAATGTTCATTGCAACACAGAAACTGGGCTGAGCTGTGCTAAGCAAAGAGCTGCAACGCTGCGGGCGGCATGGAAACAGTGCCAAGGTGCAGTTAGAAGCTGCTACAGGAATAAAAGAAACCTGTTTGGTCCGTAGGGCAAAAGACCACGAGATGCTCAGATCTGCTACGGCTCTGCAGAGGAGAACCAAGGGAAGCTGAGCTCAGCAGCACCACCCAGCCCAGCAGGGCTGAGAAGCAGCAGCACCTACAGCTCCATCCCTACTGGGGACCCACACTGGTGGCCCAGGAGGGGTCACTGGGAGCTACTGGGGTGCTTGGGGAAGCAGGGGGTTCCTTCTGCTTTAGGTGAAGGTGGACCACACTGCTGCGTGGAAAGGAGATGGCAGTGCCAGACCTCTTCCCAGGGCTCTGCAGGGAACCTCCAGCCCTGGAAGCACTCACACAGCCAACGTGAACTTCAGCCCTGCTTGCACTGCAGCACAACCACACACAGATACCCCGCTGCAACCACAGCTGCAGTGAGAAGACCGCTGCACGGCTGCATGCAGCTGCAATCCATCAGCAAGATCCAAACCAAAGCATCAGAAACCAAACAGAAAAGAGTGAATCTCATCACACAGCTCTGTCAGCTGAGGACAGCTGAAAGGCGTGCTGTTTCAGACACCCACTCGTGAGAAGACACTGCAGCAGAACCAAGTGCTGAGTGACGGGAGGAAAGGAGGGACACGTGTGTGATCAGAAGCAGAGCTGTGCTGCTGTACCTGCTGCCCCGCCGCTGTGGGGGCACACTCGTGCTCCAAAGCCACCTTGCTCGCTCCATCTCTTCACACTTGCTGTGCCGAGCAGCAAAGGCTGAATCAGACAAGTCCTCGATCTGTGGGAGGGATGGCACAGGGCTCAGGCAGGGGTTTTTCATGTCGGATGCACATCTGTGTGCAGTTTTTCCAGTGAAGTAAATTGGTGATGTCCAGAGGGTGCTTCCCCCACTGCCCCCAAACCCAGCATCACCTCAATGGGAAATAGGGCAGCTCTCACCTCCTCGTTGTCTTCATCAGGGCTGACCTTCGGGGCGCCGATGTCCACCTCACGCCAGCTGCAAACACAGCATCAGAGTGCAGTCAGTCACAGCGCAGCCCCTCGTTTGAGGAAATCACAACAAGCAACACATGCAGGCTGGGCGTTAAGCCACACAGCCACACCTGTCCCCCAAACCCCCCACGGTGCCATCAGAGCACAGTTTCTCGCTCTTGCAGCCAGCCCCACGTGGAGCAGCTGCTTGCAGGCATCAGGACAACACACTCCCTAAGTCTGCTTCAGTGTGAGGCTCCCAAAGCCCCATTCCTCCCCAGCAGCTGCAGCCCCTGGAGAACAGCCCTGAGCCAAAGCTGAGCTCGTGGGCACAGACCTGGGTGTCAGGATCTCCTTGTACTGCAGCTTCTCCACGCGAGTTGTGGCGGCGACAGACATCGGGATGACAATGTTGTTAATATCAAATGAACTTTCCCCTCTCCTCCTCCTCGGCTGCTGCAACGGGAGGACAAGAACAACGTGAGAAAGTCAGAGGCTTTGCTATGGTAAGCCACTGACAAAGGATCAACAGAGATCTGGGCTGGAACTGAGTTCAATACTGACTGCTGGAAGGCCTCCCCCATGGGAACAGCTCTGAAAGGGGAGGGAAGAGCCCCACAGAGCTCAGTTCCCCAGTGTGAAGTGGCAGTGGGACCATCAGCACAGCTCCGACTGGGACCAGCAGCTCATCTTGGCTTGTGACAGCTGCTCTAGAACCTAACAGCTTCCATCTGCAGCCTGCTTTTAACCAGGTTTTAACCTGCTTTTAACCAGGGTAGGTTTTCCAAACCAGAAATAAGCTGCACACTTAGCTTATCCAACTGGGTTCAACGCTGGGTGCTCCCCTGTCTGCCCCCAAACCTCCACTGAGCCATGAGAGCAGCACTGCAGCACAGACACAGGATGCTCCAGGCTCTGAGCCCAGCACTGCTGTCCCCATGGGTGAAGCTGACAGTGGGAAGGGAAGCTCCTGCAGGGCCTCTCCCCTTCTGAAACCTGAACTGATGCTTTCATGTCCCAGAGCAGCTGTGTTCCTGCATTACACCCTGAGCTCAACCTGCACCAAGCGATGGGACGTTGCTCAGCTTTCCCAATCTGATTTGTATTGGCTTTGGTAGAACTGGCAACATGCAATAGGAACCATCATTTCTGAAGCAAAACCTGCTGGGCAGCCACAGGCAAAATGCAAAAGCACAGCGAGTCACAGTGCAGGAAGCTGCAGCTCCTGTCATGCACACACATCTCAGCTCAAAGCAGCTCCCCCCACCTCCCCAAAGGAATCCCAAAAGTTGCAGCAAAGCTGTGCAGCGTTACTGCAAAACCACCAAAACCAGACCCAAACCCTGCCCTGCCTCACAGCAGCCTATGCATAACGCCCACACCTCAGGGCTGCTGGAGCAGCACAGGTGGCTTCTGGGGCTGGAAGAAGCCAGGTGCTAAAAATCAGCATCCAGGAAGGAGCTGCCAGTGATGCTGCCCAGCACCATGCTGTAACCCTGCTATTCAGAACGGGCTCAGGGAGGAGTAGCTAAAGGAGCAGAAAGGAAGACCAAGTGCAGGAAGCACGAACAGATGTCATCTTGACATGCTATGGCTGCCTTGTCTCCAAAACACCTGGCTCATTCCAGGGAAGCTGCTGCTGGTTGGAGTCTCAGCCCCCCTGAGCATTACAACCCACCTCACTGACAACACAGCTGATGATGCAACAGCAAAACTGTTCTGGGAAAGAACCCAGAGCTCAGAGCAAGGACCGAGGTGCACACTGAGCTCTGAGCCCCAAACCCTGTATCCCCAGCATGGGCTGTGCCACACAGAGGCCAGGAACTTTCCTGGGACACACATTTCAGAGCTGAACAGAGCAGGAGGGAGCTGGGTCCTGCTTGCTGATGGCTTCCAGACACAGCTCCACAAAGGTTCCAAATGCTGTCATCCTTTCTGGGAGGCTGAGCCTGTCTCAGCACACAGTACGAGCCAAGCAATGGCTGAACCCCAGGTACAATGACAGCTGAGTCCCATCCTCAGCCCCATTTACAGCCCAGCACATGGAGAAAAGGGCAGGAAAGGGAAGAATCCCAGAGCAAGAGCTGTTGTTGTGTCAGCAGCTCTACGTTGCTGGTGCTCAGCTCTTCTACTCTGTTTCCTGGCATCCCCTGACAACTTCAGTAACCAAAATCCGGACGTGGAGCAAAGCCAGCGGACTACTGGGAACAGGAACATTTACCAGCACTTACTGAACTGACAGTGAACCTGTCGCTGCAGCCGGCTCTGTGCACAGCCAGGAGCACAGCAGACCCAAAGCCAGAGCAGAAGGAGAGCCAACAATTCCACTACCAGCAAGGCAACACCGAGCCCTGAGCTCCGGATGCTGGGGAGCACAGAGCCAAGCTCAGCAGCTCTCCAGACAGACAGCAATACTTACAGCCGTGCTGGAGGCGCCCTGGGAGCTCGTGCTGGTGGGAGCAGAGCCCTCCGAGGAGGCGGACAGCTGCCGTGCTATGGGGCTGTGAGGTGCATGGGTCGCAGCTGCTGCCAAGTAGCTCGGGCCACCGACGTCTGCATGATGCTTCAGCACTGTGTGGGGAAAGGAGGAAAAAACAAAGAGCCAGGTTAGCATTAAAAAAAAAAAAAAAAAGGGGGGGGGGGCAGGAAGGAGGGGAGAAAAGGACCATCTCTGCCAGAAGTGGCCAATGCTGGGGTGCACCCTGCAGGAAAGAGAAGCGTTTTCTGGCTGCTGACAGCTCGTCAGGGCCTGCAGGGAGCAGCAGGCGGAGCAGGCGGTGAGGAGGCCCAGAAGCAGTGCGTTCCCTCTCCTCCGAGGGGGAGAGAGGCTGATGAGCAGCAAAGCCCAAGCTCCCCCCGAGAGCCCTGGCCGTGGGAGCCTACCTTCACTCCTCTCAGATGAGCAGTCGCGCAATCGCTTTTTGTCATGGGCGGGAGGCTGGACAAGCGAGCGCTCAGGCGCTCTCTCGGCCTTGGACACGGCCATAAAATCGTCTAAAGGCAGCCTGTGTGCCTTGTCTGCCTGGGTTTTGTGCTGTGAGCGCTCTGAGGAGGGGAACAGAGAAAGAGCCATGAAACGCCTGTTTTCACCTCTCTTTCTGCGGGCACTGAAGGCACCGGCGCTGCGATGCCGCGGCACCGACGGGCAGAGCTCTGCATGGGCACGGCCCGGCACTGGGCAAGGAGGGTCCCTACAGCCAGGACCAGCTGCACACGAACCCCTTCGGCCCCAAAGGCTCCTCTCGAAGGCTATCCATCCTCCTCTCTCCTCCCGGATCGCACTGCTTTGGGGTTACCAACAGCAGGGGAACAAGTCTGCGCGCAGCAGGGCTGGGGGAACTTACTGGCTGCGGTGAAGAAGGAGTTCACCAGCTTGTGGCGGTCCTTGCGAGCTGGGTCGGTCAGGCTGCTGGTGGGCATGGAGGCTCTGTGCTTCAGCGAGAGCTTTTTGGGAGCTTTCATTTTCTCGTAGGGTTTGTTCTGCCACTGGGATTTCAACATGCTCTGGAAGTGCAGGCTGGTCGGCACGTCTGCGGAGGGAAAGCAAAGGCAGCGTTACATCAATGCGCAGCAGGAAGCTGTGGGTCCATCGTCACCTCCTGACCCCCAGCAAGAACTGCACCAATAAATAGAGGGCTGTCATTGTGCAGCCAGGTTTGCCTGTGTGTTCAGGATGGGAGCCTACAAACAGGAGGGGAATCAACTTTATGAAAGGGCAGATAACTGCAGGATAAGGGGAAATGGTTGGAAGTTGAGGGAGGGGAGACTGAGGTTGGATGTCAGGGGGAAGTCCTTTGCTATGAGAGTGGTGAGGTGCTGGAACAGCTGCCCAGAGAGGCTGTAGATGCCCCGTCCATCCCTGGAGGTGTTCAAGGCCAGGTTGGATGGGGCCATGGGCACCTGGTCTAGTATTAAATGAGGAGGTTGGTGGCCCTGCATGTGGCAGGGGGTTGGAGCTTCATGATCTTTGAGGTCCCTTCCAACCCTGGCCATTCTGTGATGCTGTGAAGGAGCTGCTGTGTGAGGATCCAGCCTGCTGTGTGAGGATTTCCAACCTGAAGCTCTTTGAGAGAAGCACAGTAACACACAATTCACACCCAGGTATATCCTGGCAGGAGAATAAAAGGCACGTGACTCCATTCTGCTATCTGTGATCTGACTTCCAAGGCTCTGGGATACCTGAGCTCATCAAACCTACAAGAGTACAGACTGGAAGAGAGACGTTCAGCTTAACTCCTCCATTTCAGGTCAGTCCAGAAGCCAAGCAGGTACAGTGTGAAGTCCATCTGCCTGGCAGGGCATCTGCCATGGCACCAAGGCTCTCCAAACAAGCACCCTTCAGGGCCCATGGAAGCAGCAGTCCCCCCAGTGTGCTCCCAGGCTCACAGCTGCACCCAGAGCACCCAGCCCTGCCCATGCTGCCTTTTCAGACCACACTGCAGAGGGGCACAAACTGTTTTTGGCCACGCTCCTCAAGTTCATTTCACCTCAATCCCACACAAATGCGCTCTCCTGACCTCAGCTGAAGGGTGGAACACTACTGGGGTTATTTAGTGCTTTTCTTGTGAAGACAGGCTACACTATGGGGTCAGATCTAAAAACTGCTGGTCAAAGCAAACTCCCCCAGCAGCACTGTCCCTCCTCCAGATCCCACACAATGTTTTTGCAGGGACTCTGAAGTGACCCTGAGCAGAGAGGACCCTTCCCAGAGCCCACACAAAGAGCAGGGATGCCTGCCAGCCCTGCAGAGGGGCCAGCACTGCAATTCAGAACTGCTGTGGCATCTGGGAGCTGCAGATGACCTCAGAGGGCAGCATGAAGGGATGGGAGCCCTGCTGGCAGTCTCACCAGCTGAGATGGAAAACCTTTCCCACCCATTCCAGAGGCTGGAAAGCCCCAGGACAGGCAAACAGGGCTGCAGGCTGCAGTCACTGACAGGGGAACCTGATGCTCAGCAAAAAGCCAGGGCAGCAGTGTTCAGAAGACTCTGGTTTTGAAGCTCCCACTGAGCCCCATCCATTTGGGCAGCAAAGTGTGAGAGCAGTTCTTCAACCACTCCACTCTGCAGAGACAGATCCCAGCGGGGAGGGAGGGCTCAGAGCAGTCCCTGAAGATGCCACCAAGGGGAAAACAGCCTCTCTGCTCATCTCCTGCCTTTTCCTGGAAATTCTTTTCACCCTCAGCAGCTGACACATCTGTGGAAGGATGGGTCAGGCTGAAAGGAGGTGAAAACACCAAGACAAAAGGCAAACAAACTGTGCTGCCCTTGCAATGGTCACAGCCGCGGTGCAGAGCTTCCAAGGGCCGGCAGATGGCAACAGCACCGAGCCCAGCACAGCTCACATCCTTCCACCAAGGTTATTACATCATCCCCAAACTCCCAGCTAGAAATCACAGCAAGCAGAAAAAGGAGAAGAGAGTGGGGACAGAGAGCTCTGGAAGAGGGTTAAAGCCTGCTCCCAGCCATGCTGTGCACTCCACACTGCTGCACAAAGTCTGTGCAGAGCTGGATTTTCCATCTGTGCGCATGAGCCCAAGGCTGTAACCCAACCCAAGCACAAACTGCAGAACTCCACCCCTCCCAGCAACCATCCCCTTCTCCAGGGAAACCTCTGCCCTGGCCTCCTGACATCCCAGCTCTCCTGCAAGAGTGCCCACTGTATCATCTGCACTCCTGTTTGCTTTGGTCGGAGAGAAACAATGATGGGTGGATAGCAGTTCATGCAGCCAATAGGTTTTGGTCAGAGCAGCAGCAGCCTAATGGGAACATCCCTTCCTCCTGTACCCTCTGACCCACCCAAGATCATGGACAACTCCATACAAGGTCAAAGAAATGTCCTGCAACTTCCACCAATCCACAAGTGGTTTTATGCAGATAAAAAACCTCTGCTGAGGTCTGTGCCACCAATCACCACGGTCTGATGTTTGGATGGTGATGGAGTTGGATGCAAGGATCCTTATGGTACCGTCCAGCTCAGGTTATTCTACGGTTCTATGACACTGACACTGGACTTTCAGACCACAGCCAATGCTGCAGTAAATGCTCTGCTCCTAAAACCAGGTGCAGATGAAGAGCTTGCTCTTAATTGCATCCAGCACACCCGCACCTCTGCGGGATGAAGGCTGCACAGCTCCTCGAGCCCCACACACCCCTGGTGTCCCACGTCAGCACCCAGTGTGACCCCCCCCATCCCTCCCCACAGCCCTGCTTTGCTGTGCTCACCATCTGGGAAGGACAGCACGGGGTGGATGCAGGAGTCCAGCTGGGACAGGCGCTCCAGCAGCGGTGCATCGTACTGCATGTCCAGCGGCGCGGAGCTGCGGGCACCACACAGAGCACACGAGGGGCTCACATCACAGCTGCACCGAGCCAGGCTGTTCCGATGGACCTGGGCAAGGGGACAGAGAACTTCAGCATCTCACGGGGCTCCCTTTGCATGCTGCCCCGTCAAATAAGTCCTGATTCTTTGTAATACCTCGCAGCAAACCTGTTGATTCAGTCTGGAGCTTGCATACGCACAGCTGAGAACAACTACTTGCCCGCACACAGCATCTCCTAAATTTGATTAAAAGTGTTTATCTAGGCTGAAAAACTCATTTATAAAACCATGAGACAGCACAATTCTGTTGTCAGAGAGGAAAAACACCTCCTTCTAGTTCAGACAAGCCAGGGAACCACCACTGTGCCAAGAGCTGACACCTACAGGGATGTCTTCGTGGAGTGAGGAGGAGAGGTTTTCAGTCTTGGTCCCTAAACCAGGAGGGACCTTCAGTTCACAGAACTACAGACTTTCATATAAACCTCCTCTCTATAAAGCCACGGTGGTGCAGATGCACAACTGGATGTAAAACAGAGTCAGTAACCCATGAACCCCCACTGAAATGAAAGGATCCGTCAAATCAGATCCTGTGAAGTCTGTTGAGTCTGGTATTATTCAGATAATTTCCACTAATGACTTGAATGATGGAAGAGATAATATCCTAAAGCCTTAGCAAATAACAGTACAACTGGGAAGGGCTGCAAGCAGCTTGGAGGAGAGCTGGCATGAGAGAAGTGATGGAAAATGAACCAAACACTGCTCAGTGAGGGTAAAAGCACAGAAATACCCCCAGCGAACTGATTATTCCCACTTTTAAGCCAACTCAGCTGGCCAAGAATCTGTTTTGCTCAGCAGAATGCTTCCTTCTGAGCTTCTTTAAACCCTATCCCCCACAGAGCGAGAAACCCTGAAACTTCGTGGTAATTAAGTTTGACTTGAAACACTTCTGACTCAAATACAAGTAAGTGGATTTGCGCCATCCCCACTTCTGCAATCCTAAGAGCTGCATGCACAAAAAACCCCGTCCTTATTCCCTCAATTTCGAAGCATCTATTCTCCAACTGACAGCTTATGGCACTCCTAAAGGAAGTTAAGAAGGATGAAGCATGGTTTGTCCTCACATGGGATGCTCAGAGAATAAACTCTCTTTCTGCTGAACTGAATTCTGCATGCGGGCAAGGGAAGATGGGGAGAAGCACAAAATAACGTGTTAATAATGGGTCTCTGTTAATTCCTGTTCTCAGTGTTTCCTATACCTGATTTTTCACTGCTTCACTCAGCTGCTCCCATTTTAGCAGGCTGAACCACCCGGCCTGAAGCTTACCTTAGGACAGGTGGATTCTGAAAAGAAAACCCCGTGTCAGAACCCAGCACTGATGACAGCTAACAGAAACCTTCAGCAAATTAAGAGCTTCTTTGTTTCTCCTTTACTTCTCCCACTGGGCTGCTCTTCCTCCCCTCTTTATAACCACAAACACTCCCAAAGAATGGAGATCTCTTTGTGCACAGCAGAGCGGACCAACTACGGGTGTGGAGCTCCTCTGGTGCAGAGCTGGAGCTGCACAGAGCAGCAGAGGAGAGGAAAGCAGAAGGGAGCAGCACCCACCTTTTTGGACAGGGGCATGATGCTGCTGGGTCGGACCAGCCGTCGCTTCTTACAGCTGAGCACCGGGCGCGTGCGGGCGGCCACACACGTCCCATCTGAAGCTGAAGAGACCACATTCATCCTCTGCTTTTTATGCAAGAGCTCCTCAGCTTCCTGGCCATCTCCCTGAGCGTGTTCTGCCAGGCCAGGCTGAAGACTGAAGAGAAGAAGGAGGAGAACGTTATTGCCCAGTGCCACCAGACAGGGTCAAACCTTAAGGTGAGACGTAAACTTCTGACCAACACTTGGGAACCACCCCTCCAATGCCTCTCAGCAGTGACACCAATGCTAACCCTCACCTTTCCATTCCTGCCCACATGCAGCATCCCTGCCCTGCTGTGGCACCGCTGCACGATGCCACCTACTAAATACCAGCACAACCCCACATCCACAGAGCCTTTCCATGTCTATTTTACGAGTGTTTCACAGCTAAAAATGCAAAACATTCAAAGCCCTGTGGCCTGATGCCTTGTAATTGAAAGGCTGCAGGCACACAGAGGGCTGTGCCACGGCCTGCAGTGCTTCAGCTGTAGGCACGAGCAGGTCCATGGGTATTTCTGTATGTGCCCACACTGCAGCATCCTGCCCAAGGTGCACTGCATGTGTTTCTGCAGCCACTGCCAGAACCTCCAAGCACCACATGGTTCAACCCTGACATCATCCTCCAGCACAGGAGAATTGCTTTTGCTTGTTTGTATTCCTGCCCTTTGAGACTTTCTCAGCAAAAGCAACCTGGAGAAACAATGCAGAGAACCTCATTCCCGATGGAATGGATGGGATTTGGGGTCCTCTGTACCTCCAGAAAAGCAGGCCAATGGTTTGCAGATCTTTCTGCAGAATAACTGCAAGCAGGCCTCTAATCTCTGGATCACACCGTTTGCAAATGTATTCAAAAGAACCATAAAAAACAGTTTTGAACATGCTCGCTGCCTGCAGGGCCCGTCCATGTAAACACAGCTCTGCTTAATTCCATTTTCAGGAAAACAATGCTGCATAAAACCTCAAGCAAGAGATCTCCTCCAACACTGCTTCCAAGCACGACTCACTGCTGAATTATTATTTTATTTCCAAAAAAGAAACCATTCATACCATCACCCACCCAGTTACTAACAGCACATCACAGGCTGGGCTGCAATCCTAAAAATGGAGCTCTATCTGCACTGGGGAAGCAGCTTACGTGTTGATAACTCCATTGACGGGTCTTGGTGCTCCACAGAGCTTGGTGGGATGGGACTCAGGAGTACTTGCAGCAGAAAGACCCAAGCTGTCCAAGGGCTGGGATCCAGAAACACTCTAGGGAAGGAGGAGAGAGGTGATACATTCATTTGTGGAAATCCCTAACAGTCACAGTTCTCTTATTCCAGTTTCCAGCTGAGGATTCTGCACTGTAGCTCCGTGCTGAACTCTGAGACAAGGCTCCAGAAGATGGTGTGCAACAAGAGATAGAGGTAAGGACTTGGGAGGGAGCAGCTCCAGCAGGAGGGTTGGTGCACGACAGCACTCCCAACGTGAGAAACAACTCCCCTTGGGCAACCACTGCGGAGCAGGAAAGCTCACTGGAGGATTCAAAGGAGATTTCAGCATTTTGTCTCAACAGTGCAAAAAGAAAAGCTCCTCACCACCTGCACAGCTCACGGGCTGCTTCCCAGGGCTGGCACTGTGCTGCAGCCCCAGGCTGCAGGCTCTGCCTCAGTCGGTGCTGCAGGGAAGGTGGGGGGCGAGGGGAATAGGCCTGCAGAACTGAATTTGTGTTTTAACCAAATACCTGTGCAAACACGGTCTGAGCAGCACTTCTCAAGATCTCCCCAATCAGAATGCACACAGGCTGTGGTTTTAGGGCCTGAACAGCTCCATAAAACCAGAACTGTCTGATACACACAGTGCTGGAAACACCTTTTTGTCAGAAGAAAGCAAGTAGGAACAAAGTGCAAGACGCACACCTCTCCTTCTGCCTGGGGTGTGAAAAGCAGACAAACCCTCCCGACCTCAGTGAGCAGCAGCTCCTGCACGACTGCAGCATGGAAATACTGAGCAAGGCAGAAGCCCCACTCTTTCCCCTGGCAGCAGGGGAAGCAGGGGACTGCCACGCTGCTTGCCAGCAGATGCTGGCTTTGCGGCCCTGCCTGTAGCATCGCTGCTCTCCATGGAGCTGGTGCCAGCACAGTGCAGCAGGCTGCTGCCCCGGGCACCTCCGTGCAGCTCCTTTTGCTCTCAGACTCTCCTCCCCTCCCCCAGGGTTCAACGTCATTTCTTCTTGCAGCATTTCCTGCACTCCCTGCCAGTGTCTCTTTAGCTGGGTTTCCCCCTTTGCGCACGCAAAGGGCGGTGGTGCATTTCAAGTGCTAATAAAAAAAAGACAAAAGAAAAAGACTGACTTATCAATCCCCACGTCCGGCCAGCCCCCTGCTCACTCTGCGCTCCTTCCCAGCAGCATCAGCTTTGCTTCTATTAACACATCCCCTGCAATTGCTCTTCAGCTCAACGAAGGACCGGCACCGAGGCACGGCAGCGCAGGGCTGCAGGCAGCATAGCAGGGACCTGACTCAGTGGGAAGAGCACACTGTGACAGAGCAGGGCAAACTTCTGCCCGCTGCCTGTCTGAGGAACTTCGAGGGCTTTCCTGTGCTTCTAGTAATAAAAGGTTTCACCTGTCTGGATGCAAGGCTGTTGGGCTGCTCCAGGCACAACTGGGAGCCCCGTGCCTGCGGCTGCGGGCTGAGCTGTGCCCTCTGGCTGAGGGCTGGTGAGCCCCAGGCAGCACCAACGCCTCTGCTGGAGGCACGGGGTGGGAGGGCACTGCGTGACTCATCAGCTCTTTGGAAACGTGGTGTTTATTCTCTCCTCCAGGAAAGGCCTTAAAGGAGGAACTCCTCATCCAGGGCGGTCTCTGGGTTGTTTTTTTTTTTGAGATAGGAACACGCAGCAGAGGAGCTGGAAAGCATCGATCCGTTTATCAGCACCATCCCAGGCCGGTCCTATCGCACCACGTCGGGCTGTACCTGAATGGGGGACTCCCATGGAGCGGGGTGACTCTGAGAGCTGAGCTCTGCGCTCACAGGGCAGGGGCAGAGCTCCAGCCACCACAGTGCTCCAGTCTGAAATCCTCTGCTTCCAGGCCTGGAGGCCACCAAAGCCTTCAGGACACCTGGGGCTGGTGGGAGAGTCATGGGCTCAGCTTTACGTGCTTCTGGTTGCCAGGAGCACAGAGCAGCCCTCAGCAGTAGTCCAGGAGGGCTGTTGTGACTCCACCCCAGCAATGTCCCCCATGTGCCCAAAAACACGGGTTCAGATCTGTAGACACAAACCCTTGGAACACGGCAACACCCTACCAAGACACTCCATCAACATCTCTTGCCTGTCACTACAAATTTCTGGTGCTTCTCCCCACTAGCAAGACCGGCAATCAACAGATAATAAGAACATTTCCATCTTCAGGCAAAAATATTATTCACCTCCCAAATCTCCCAACGCAGAGAGCAGACATCTCCTGACATGCTCTGCAAAGCCTTGCCCCTCACTGCCAGCAGCATTAACTCCTCCCAGGACCCTCAGCCACATCCCACACACCAACCAGAAACCCAGCACACACAGCCCAGACTCCCATTGGCCAAAGGAACTTTTCAGGAGAGGATGAGACCCAAAGGTGAAGGGCTGGGAATGGGACAGGAGGCACTGCCTCCCCTTATTCTGCCCTGCACATCTCTCCCAGCTTAAAAACAACACAAGAACCTAATTCTAAGCAGCGGGAAGAGTTCCAAAATGATAAGCAGCTTTCCAGCCTAAGAGATATCCTAATGCAGCAGGAATGGTCTCTGGGCTGTGAGCAGAGCGAGGCTGTGACTCAACACCCCACCCCTATGAGCAAGACTGACCAGGCACAGCCCCCCAGGGATGGGTGCCTGAGGGCAGCTGTTCTGCTCACACCTCCAGCCTCAATCAGAGCAGGCAGCCACGTGCACAGCAAGGAGAAGTGGAGGTTTGCTGCAGGAGGAGGCATACAGCAAGGCAGAAGCAGCCCAAAATAGTGCCAAGCACCAGCTACTTCTACCTACTTGACAGTAACTACGCTGGCTCTGCACACATGTTGCTCCTTACTGCTCAGTGCTATTTATTACCTGTTGGACTCCATGATCCTTATGGGTCCCTTTCAATTTGGGGTGTTCTGTGATTTCCTACTTGGCAGCCCAGCCCATGGCAGGGCTTGGAACCACACCATCCTTCCAACCCAGCCATTCTAAGACTCTATTATGTGCTGCTGTTACCCCCAAGACCTGCAAGAGATGGGATCTGTGCAGCACTAGGGCTGTAGTAATAACAATCTGTCTGAAGAGCTGCTGTCCCAGTGAAAGGGATGAGAAAAGGAGCAAGCAGGAAATGAGTAACAGCAGCGAGATGGCTGTGAGCAGCAAAACCAGACAGCAGTGGCCAAGCAAGCCTGTTCTTTCCTATAGAAATCCATAGACATTTTCTATCCTATACATACAGAGATGATGCCCAAGTGTATGGCAACTGTCCAGAATGTGTAGGGACAAAGCCAGAAGGGACACAGCTCTTCCATCTGCACATTTCCAGGTTGAAAACAGACCAGTACCATCAGATAAACATCCTGAGTTAGATAAGAACGGAAATTTTCCTCCTAACCCTGCAATTTGATTATTCATCTCCGTTATCAGCCTATTTACAGGTCAGCTCCCAGCAGCAGCCAACTCCCTGTGCAAGCTATTCCTGCAGAGGATCGGAGCACGCTGTCCCAGCAGTTGTTTATGATTCACTGAGAGCTTTTTGGGTTAAAGCATGGATGGGGGGGGAGAGGGAGGGGGACAGACGGACATCTCAGCTCGAAGGCAGACGCTGCGTAATGCTGTGCCAGCCCCGTGGCTCTGCTCTGATCCCAGTCCTGTATGAAACCCTCCCGCTCTGCACCACGCCGAGAGGTTTGGGCTGAGCTAATCTGCTAATTAAAGACCTCGGCTCCAAACACGCATCTCCAAGCCACGTCAAGCGAGGAGATGTTTTATTACACTCACTTGGAATAACCCCTTGTGGCCCGCTGCGAATCACAGAGCTCACAGTATTTCCTACCATCGCTCCTGACAGGTTTCACAGGGAGAGGAGAAAACACTCCAAGTTCGATATTACGGATGTTTTCCGTTAAGCTTTTTCTCTGTATCATCTGCACTGAATTCTGGGCACAGAATCATGGAATGACTGGGTTGGAAGGGACCTCCGAGCCCATCCAGGGCTGCAGGTTTGGGGCAGAACGACTGGAAAGCTGCATAGAGAAAAAGGATCTGGGGGTGTTGGCTGCACGTGAGCCAACAGTGTGCCCAGGCAGCCCAGAAAGTCCAGCAGCATCCTGGTTTGTGCCCCCCACACCACACCACGGCTTCAGAACCCTCTGCTATGATACATCCGTGTGTCCCTCAGGATCAAAAGTAATCACAGCCATCCCAAACCGCCTCTGCTCCATGCCCTACATTTCTGCATTAAATAATAAATACCTGGCGCTCAGCACCGCTTCCAGAGCATCTCACTGAAATCATTAGTTCCCTTTCTAAGGGGGAAAGCTCAGGCAGATATTAATAGTCACATCTTCAGAAGCACTTGCTAATTGTGCTGCTCTCAGTTTGAGGTGCTTTTGCTGGAGGGAAAGGATTAGTTAGGATTTTTAAGCTTCGTAAAATGCTAATGCATATTACAAAGGTACCCCAAGGAACTCTGTGCTAAAAGGTGTTTAAATCATATCATTTATTAACCCCAAAGTAAACCGGGAGGGGAGAGCAGCGGGCTGGCACTCCCAAAGGACAAATCCCATTGGGTTGGGGGTGGAGGGCCGTGCTCCACGCACTGCTGCACTCACCAGCCGCTCTGCGCCGGGCTCCAGCTTCACATCAGCACTGATGGGACGGGATGCATCATCCACTGCGGGGTCAGGGGGCGATGCTTCACCGAGGACTATCAGCCCCTGAAAGAGATGGAACAGAGCATGGATGAAATGCGGCTCCTTCGGACCCAGCAGGGCAACGGCGCATCCATCGTCCTTGGGAAGAAAACAAACATGAAAACCACAGTGCAGAGAGGCTTGCATTCCCACAGCATTCTTCAGACGTGATGCCAAACCGAATCCCTCGCTGCCCGGAGTTCCCTGACACCGAAGCTGAACTCGGAGGCAGCTGAAGCCAGCTCACACACTGCAGCCCATGAGCACCCACTGCTGCCCCGGGCAGCCACAGCATCCCACCCTTCCCTGCTCTGGGTGCTCTCCACTTGGAGCCCCAGCAGGCTGCAGCCAGCAGAGCAGAGGGAATGCTTTGCTGGAGCAAAGAGAGGGAAGAGGCTGCTGGAACAGCAGGCGGTGCAACCTGCTGCAGCTCCGAGCAAAGCAGGTTGAGCAGGTGCCAAAAATCACCCGGTCAGAATCGTAACTCGGGGCAGATTTTTCAAAGTCATACACACAAAATTCAGTAAGAAAGAAGAGAAGTGCTGGTAAACAAAGCTGTAAAGCTGGTGGGGCAAAGCCTGGTGGCAGAGCACTGATTTGTCAGGGTTAACACGCTCTGTCCTGTCTGTGCTTCGCTCCAAGTGAAGCCTGGACTATTTCCTCTCCTAACAACACAAAGTCTAACAAAATCATGATAATTACACCTAATCTGAGCAGCACTGTAACGAGGCAGCATGCAATGTGCAGCTGGGAGAACCTGAAGGCCACAAAACCAAAGTCCTGCAATGGTGTCGATGACCAAAACCATGGATGGGACCAATCCCACCTCCCATAGGGTTCATCCTATGCCTTCACACATCTTCTGTACAAGAGATCTGTAGCTCAACATTGGTAGCTCATCCTCCAGAGATAATAGTTTAAAAACAGATCATTGATAAACTGAATATAACCATAGGTAGCCTCTGACCAGCAATTAGCAAGCAGCCAGCTTCTGGATAAACAGAATGACCGTTTCCTGTAGTTTTCTGAGATCCAAGAAGGATGTTCAGGAGATGAGGGAGGCTGAAGCCTAAAATCAATTAAACACCTGAAAAGTCCCCCTAGGAAAGCAAGTCATTGCACTCCAGTGCTGCTCCCAGAGCCATCCCCAGGTGAGCTGCAGCACAGCTCAGCCATCCCTGCATGGACAGTGAGGAACTGGGTCTGAACACAGCACAGGAAGCAAGGAAGCTGCAGCACATCCCTCTGCTATCAGTGCTCCTGTGACTGTGAACACTGCCAGAGGCTGTATTTTAACCTCCTTATATATTTGGCCAAAGAAGCCAAAGCTGAGTTCTGTTGATGAAGAAACCAACCTGTCTCCTAATTCTTCAACTGCCCTCATACAGCTGGAACTGAAGCCCATTTCAAAAGGCCCTTTGCACTACTGAAGTGTGTATTCATTCTCTCACCTTCTCTACTTGCTGCATGTCTTACCTACTGACAAAACCAGGGCACACCTTCCAAGCACCCTTGAGCTCAATGCCAGCAGCACGATGAAGAGGTGATCTGCAGCCCTGACAGGATGGTGGCTGTTTGCTGCTGTTTGCTTTGCAGGCAGGAAAGTCACTGCCAGATCCCGAGCATCTGAAATCTGATGTACCTTTTTACTCTGACACAGCACTGTCACGTTCTTCTCCCTTCAGACCTAGAGACTGCAACCTTAGATGAAACACACCAGACGTGTAGCCACAGTGAGGCCATTCCATAGGCCTGCCAAGCTGCCAGGACCTGCTGAAAGCACTGCATCTTCTCCTCCATCAGTAGATTTTGCTTCTTTCTGCCACTCCTTAACTTTTAGCAAATGAATTTTGAGCCATTTGGGGTTTTATACTTCCCAACCACCCTGCAGGACCTGCAAGGTGGAAGGATCTTTCTGATGCTGGTTCATTCATGGATGTAACAACCGCTTCCCACAAGCTGCCTTCTCTCCTCCTGATGCTGTATTCTACCCAGACAGCCATGCTCTCCCCTCTGCCCTTTACAGTCTTCACTCACCACTTAGCCTGCTCTTCTACATAGCTGCATAAAGGCCCACAGCCTTCCTCCCCTGCCTGTGCCTTTCTTCCCATTGCAGCCATCACCAGAACACCATAAATCTCAGGGAGAGAGCCTGCTGCACTGAATTCCTGAGGATCTGTAAATGGATGCAGCACCAGGATCCTGCCTGCCACAAACTCAGCATTCCTCCCTCCAAGGGCTGACATTCAGACATGCACGCCTGAACAAGTCCTGATAACCATTCCTGCCTCATCCCTTCTCTGCTCTCCCCCTCTCCTGCCATCTGAGAGCAAGTTTGAAAACAAAATTCCTGCCATAAAGGTCAGCACTTACAGCCCTTTTTTTTTTCCACTGTTTCAGCTTTAAGCCTGTGCCATCAGATACCATCTGAAGATGGCTTCCTCCACAGCCCCATCCCTCCCCAGGAGGTCTCTCACTGAGCCCCATCTTCAGATATTCCCAAAGAGAAAGAAAGAGTGGAGTGATGGGGGAGTGCAGCACACATGCAAAAGCAATTGGTGTTCAGCACCCAAAGAGTGGCTTTTAACCGAGGTGCTGCTCTTCACGTCACCGTGGAAGAGGACTGCACTCAGCCCATGCCCAACAGCATCCCCATCAGTCACAGCTGTGCAATACACTTCCTGAGCTGCAGGGAGGGGAAAAAACACATCGTGCTTTGCACACACTGCAATCGGAAGAGAACCATCAGGAGGCAGAAAGGGCAGAACCCCCCTGGATCCCAACAGTGCTCACCTTATTGGCTCTGATCTGCTTGTAAATATCCGTTTGCTGCCGGATTCGGTATTCCAGGTCTGAGACGTGGGCTTGGAGCCAATTCCAGCGACTGACGATGGCTGCACGGTCTGCTGCCCATCTCCACTCTGCCCTTCGTCTCCTGGAAGAACAGACAGGGGAAGGGGGGGGGGGGATGATGATTTTGAGTGTGACTTTAATTATCCAGCCCACAGAAAACCGAGCAGAACTGACAGCCAGATCAAAAGCGACACGCCGAATGGCACGACTGATACCATCTAGCCACTGCTAATGACTACCAGCCCGGCCACAGACGTGCTGTAAAAGCCATGCCTCTGCAGAGCAACACGAAAACAACTTTGGGTACCCAATGATTGAAGTTCTGCCTATGCAAGCGTTAAGGTTTTACTCCACGCTCAGCTGAACCAGCAGCTCCGGTTCCTGCAGCCAGACCCACTTCTGCAGGTTCTGGAAGGAACAAAACCCCTCTGCCCTCCTTTCCAAGCTGCACCCTCTTTGCATGGTCATGAAATAAACCCTGACACCAGCACAGAGCATGTGGCCACACTGGGACAAGCTTCACAACGCACCCATGTTTGGAGAGCTCACGGTGCCTTGCAAAAGCTGCTGCCCTGCAAGGAGGTGTTGCAAAGGAAAGCAAGCAGCAGCAATCGTTTCTGCATCAGGTGGCTTGACCCAGCAAACAAAGAAGCTGGGAAAAACCATCAGATATTACCGAGTGAGCCGCACCTCTGATCTGCATGGCTGAGAAGTGAAGGTGAGAGCACACAAACATGTGGGTGCACGGGGAACCCACACGCTCTGCAGCCCTCAGCTGACTTCCTACCTGCTTTCTCTCTGCTGCAAGCACCAAATGTGGCCCAGCAGGAACATAAATGTGCTTTTGCTGTTGTGTGGATCACACCATTGCATTTTACGGTCAGCTGTTACAACAACACCTCACCAAACTGCCACCAAACTGCAATGAGCACACAAAGAGCAGTGTATGTGTAAATCCACAGCTCTGCTCTCCTGCATTAGAAACCCTTTATTACAGAAACACAACCTGAGCATCCGATTTGCTGGATAAGTGCTCCGACTACCCAGGAAGCACAAACCACAACACAGGCAGCAGCAGAGGCTGCACGTGCAAACGCAGCACTGCACAGCACTTAAGAACTCAGGACCAAAACAATCCCCTTTTCTCCTCATCTCATCCCCCTGCAGTGCTTCTGAAGCACAGCACGGTGCCCGCATGGTGCAAGCAGAACCCACTGATTCCCACTGCCCATGCCCTGCACAGCACCCCCAGTTTGGTGCCAGCAGATGAAGGCACGTTTCCACCACCATAAGCAATCGCTGCAGCAGCCTGCAGGCTCCCCCAGCCTCACTAAGACCTCCACTAGCCTGAGTTCTTCTCTCTGGCATATTTCACCATATAAAGAGCCCCCTGCTGTGCTTGGCTCAGCACAAGCCTTTCCAGAGCACGTTATTTCTCCAGGAATTGACTTCTTCCATGCTCTTGTTGCACAAGCTGAAGGCAATTCAGCTCCAGCAGCCGCGAGTCAAACCCAACATCAGACCTCCCCAAGCTTTGGACTCTACACAGAGCTCTGCAGCCTTACCACTGCTCTCTGGGGACCAAGAACAGTGCAGGAGGAAGGCAGAAAGCTACTGAGAGCTCCCAAACCTCTGCCTTCCCTTTGCTTCCCTCTGCCAGCTTACAGAGCACCTGATTATATTGAACAGCACCGGCCCACTCTTAAACAGCACTCATTTGGATCACACAAATAAAAGTGTAAAACCTTTCGTTTGTATCTCTTTCCAAACACTTTGCAAAGCAGAACTGCAGCCCCACACCTGCTGCCGGGGCAGGGGAAGCTGATCCCTTCCTTTTAAGCTTTGCAGACATCCAAATGATGCTGATGGAAGGGTTGATCCCATCTGCTGAGCTGGCAGCACCTGTCCTGCTGGGGGACACAGCACGTGCCTGGATGGTGCATGCAGCACAGGAGGAAGAGCAGCAGTTAATTATGACTGGAGAAAGGCAGGGGGGGAAAAAAAATTCCTACGTGACATCAGTGCACGTCCTTGGGATGGGTCTGAGTCCTTCCATAAGGACAAAGCATGCAAGTGTGGGCTGCATTCTGCCTTCTGAGCACAGCAGCCCGCTGCAGTGTGGGGAAGGGACTGAACCCCAGGTGAGTTCTGGCTGCTTCAGGAAGGGGTGTGTGCTCTGATGGAGTTATCCTTTGAACAGGTAGTGTACACAGAGCCCTGCTGTGAACACAGCAGCACCTCAGTCCGTGCATTCCTGCAGTATGAGCTGTGCTGGGTCCTGCATGCTCGGCAGCCGGGTGCTGCAGGGCTGTGCAAGCTCTGTGTAGATAAGCACTCCAGAACACAGCTGCCACATATATGAGCTTAAACCAAGCTGATGCACTCAAACCAGGCTGCGGGGTGAAGATCAGCTGGGATCATCCCAACACAACTGTGGGAACCCACAGTCCAAGCCCAAACCTCGCTGCACCAGCAGCAAAAAGCGGGGCACAGCAGGACTGGGCTCCCATGGCCACCTGAGATCCCAGCGGGGACACAACCTCCAACAGACCACAAAAGCACTTTCAAATATGACACCCAGCTCTATTAAAGGGCCAATTATCCGTATTAATTCTGCACGTGTGTTACCTACCACCGGGCAGCAGCCCCAGGGCAAAGGTTGGCAGCATGAACACAACGCAGTGCTTCGTGTCCATACAGGCACAATGACTGCTCTCAAACAACAGCAAGACGCCAATAGAAATCTCACAGTTACATCAACTCTTATTTGAAGCAGTGGTTTCCCATCCTCTTTCTCTCTTTGCTTTTTGAGATGCTCCAAGGCCAGTCCTGACAGAGAGGTGAAACGCTGCCAATATCACCAAAGCTCATTGGGAGAAGGTGGATAGAAAGCCATGCACTCACGTGCAACTCAGATGATACAAATCCAACTTTTTTCAATTGCTCTCCCCATCTTAAGCTGCTGAAGGAAACTTCTGTTCTGAAGGAAGCTGCTGTTTGCAACCCCCTGTTCTGCAGGACTGCTGCTCTGCCCCAACGCTTTCCTGCACACCATGAGATCTGTGCGCAGAGCCCCAGTGCTCTCACAGCATCACAGAATGGCCAGGGTTGGAAGGGACCTCAAGGATCACGAAGCTCCAACCCCCCGCCACACACAGAGCCACCAACCTCCACATTTCACACCAGCCCAGGCTGCCCAGGGCCCCATCCAACCTGGCCTTGAACACCTCCAGGGATGGACGGGGCATCCACAGCCTCTCTGGGCAGCTGTTCCAGCACCTCACCACTCTCATAGCAAAGAACTTCCCCCTGACATCCAACCTCAATCTCCCCTCCCTCAACTTCCAACCATTTCCCCTTGTCCTGCTCTTATCTCCCCTTTCAGAGTTGATTCCCCTCCTGTTTGAAGGCTCCCTTTAGGTACTGAAGGCTGCAATGATTCACCCCGCAGCCTTCTTTTTCTCTCATATGACAGCTCCAAGAGAGGAAGAGAAAACCCCACGAGCTCTGGAGAACAACCTCATTAGCTGATGACAACACTTCTGCCTGCCAAGGATGCCAACATGAACAGTTCGTTTGGCTGAGCTGCCCCCACCCTGCGGATGGAACCCACAGATGCTGATGGGCTCCTCTGTGCTCTGAGTGCTGCTCAGTTCCATCCAGCCCATCCCTGCATTCAGCAATGCTCCATGCTGCTCAGGGCCACGTCTGGTTTGCATTGCTCCAAGCACAGCTCAATGCCCTCCCTGTGAGCAGCACCATGCAAAGCCTGCACAGCAGCCATCGGTCAGGATATGAAAGGTTTGTTTTGGCATCTCTGTTCATTAAAAAGAAAATAAAAAAAAAAAGAGGAAAAAAGAGGCCAAGTGGCCCAGGCCAGTCGTTACACGATGCCTGAACTCCTGCACATGATGCTGGGACAGGGCTGCACAGCCTGTGGTCATGACAGCAGAACCCAGAGTTCTTGTGCTGCAGGCAGTCCCAGCAGCACTGCCACTGCAGCTCGTGCTCCAGAGTGGGGCTCCAAGCCAAACCTCTGCCCCACGCCACTCTCCTGTGGCACTTTTCTCCCTAAATCCCTTCCTATCAGAAAAAGTGTTTCTTGGAAAATTAAGCAATGAAGCACCACGCGCCAAATGAAGTCATCCCTTAAAATGAAATGCCCCGTGCAAGCAGGCAGCAAATTCTATGGATGTCCACACCAATGGGACAAATGCTGCACTCAGCTCCTCTCCAGGAAACGGAAAATCATCAGTGCTTTGTTCAGCTGCAATTCGGAGGAACCCCATCCCATGCACATCACCCATGGGTGCTTCTCATTTTGCTTCTGTCAGCACCTGAAGGCAGAGCATCCCCAGCACGCTGTCACTTCGGGTGGCACACACCGGCTGCAGGCTGAAGATGAGATGCTCTGGTCTCATCTCAGGGCTCAGCACCTCCCAAAGCCAGCAGAGGTGTGCAGTGACTCAGCACAGTGCTGGTGGTGCTGAGTCACTGCATGTGTGGCTGCTCCCAGCCTCCCAATGGGAAGTGTGGGCCCTGAGGGGAGGATGTGGCAGCGCTCATCCAGTGCCTGGGGACGGCAGTGCAGAGCCCTGCTGGGGGTCAGAGCTGGGTGCAGCCCCTGTGATACTCACAGAACCACAGAATGGCCTGGGTTGGAAAGGAGCTCCAAGCCTGCTGAGCTTTCACCCATCTCCACGTGTCACCTTTAAAAGACACCAAGTGCTCATTCCCCACTAAGAAAACCTCAGAAAGACCCCTAATTGTAACAGGCTCTGTAATGGAGGCCACTGGGTAAACTATAACAAGACTTCCACAAAACAACCATCGTGTCCACACGATGTCACCTGCTGCTGAGCTCACAAGCAAGGCACTGTCTGCAGCGTGAAGCTCACTGGTAGTTTAACACATCCTTCTTGTTGGACCGACCTTCATAAATTACAGTTCAGTTCACAACAGACTTCTTCCAAGCACGCATGCTCCTTTTTGCTCAGCACAGCCCTTTATTAGCACTGCTGCTTTGCTTACAATTGCCACCTCCCCAGCCGGGCTGAACGGCACAGGAAAACACAACCACTG